ACAAAATGTAACATTAATTGGTGATAAATGTTTTTCACATTGTATTTCTCTTACATCAATTTCCATTCCACAACATACTAAAATGATAGATTGGATGTGTTTTTATGGATGTGATAAATTAACACAAATAACATTCACATCGTCTGTTTAATTATAAACATTTATATTTATTAAATCTATTTCATCTCATTCAATATTGACCTTTCTAATTTCCAATTTGATTTTACTATCATAGTATAAAGAATGATAACTTAAATTTCAATAGATTATGATTTTTTATTTTGTTGTATTTATTTGAGATTGTTTCATTCTCTTTCTTGATTTTCTTATTTATGAATTTCTTCTTTATCTTTATATTTATTTCTATAATTTCATCATTATTTCATTCAATATTTCTATATTTTTATTTATTATATTTTCTCATTATTTCCATTTGTTTAATAATTCACTCTTTCTTTAGTTTTTAATTGTTTCTTTATTATGTATTATATTTGTTATTATTCTTTTTATTCTATTTTCTCTTGAATATTTCTATTCATTTCTATTTAAGTAATAAATACCATACTTCTCCTTTTATTATTTTAGTTTATCATATCTTTTCTTTTCTTATTTTATCTATCTTCTTCATAAATATTTCTTTGTTTTATTCTTTATTTCTTTTTTTCAATATATTGAATTTTTCTTTATGTTATATTCTTCTTTGATTTTATCATTTCCTTCCATTTTTTATTTGTATTAAATATTAATTTCATTTGATTTTGTTCTTTTTGTTATTCATCATTTAATGTATTTATTTTGTATTTTATTTGAGTTGTATTTATTCATCTCTTCTTTCTTTTTCTTTTTTTATACATTCTTATTTTATTTGATATTCTTTTTGTTATTTTATCATTACAAAAACTCCTCTATTCTTATTATTGTTTTCTTATTTCATACAATTTGTTTATATTCACTTTGTATATTCTTCTTCATTTGATTTTTAATTTCTTGTCATTTGGATAAATCTCTATAAACTCTTTCACCATTTAAATTTTCTTTATCAATAAAAACATGTTCTTTCATTGTAATTTAATATTCTATCTAGTGACACTCATCATCAAATCAATCAAAGTGTATTTAACACATCTGAACAACTTGACAGTTGTATTGTGTTATTGTCTTTTCTAATTTTCTTTAAATCATCATGTTTATCACAATGAACAGACAAAAGATAATATTTTCGTTTTTATCATCATGAATGAAAAGACTTTTAACATCTGAAACTTCTTTCATATCAAATACAATTTCATGTTCAGTATCTTTGTATTGAATTTTGTGATTATCTAAACATACACTTCTGATTTATTCATTTTTGTAGTTAAAATGTTAGATTTTGTAATGAGTTTGTGTATTAATAACATCTAATAATTTCTTAAACAATACACATTAATTCTATCATTATGAAATAAAGCTTATTCATGTTGGTATAATATTGTTTTTAACTATTAAACACAGACATTGTTTATTATCAATTATTACAGAATATATTCAATGAAATAAATTAACCACAATTGAATTTAGTTTAAAATGAATGAATTGATTAACATCTCATTGTTTATTTTATTTCATAACATACAAACAAGTCAGAGTGTCATTGTTATTGAATTAATGTCAATGACTCTTATAAATAAAATCAAATAATACAAATATGAGAACGAAATGGAAATAATAAACAGAAATGATGAAATAAACATTAAACAATAATGTTGTGAAATGAACTTATTCTTTTTCTTTAAATTCTTTAAATTCCTTTTTCTCTTCTTTCTAAAAAATGAATTGAATATTTTACTATTTTCTATAATATCCTTTCTATTATTTTATTATCCACAAAATATTCACAATTTTGATTATTAGATTGATTTGATGTTTCATTTTTTGAATATTTCATTTATTCTCATTCTATCATTGTGGTGTTTATAACATTTAATTCATCTATTCTTGTGATGGTTGACTCTTCAAAATGAAAAGACAGTGCATTAAAAGAAACATTGACTTGAATGAGAAGAGAATGGGTAGAATGAGAAATGAGATGTTTAAGTTGTTTACAAAGGTTGAAAGAGTAAAAACAGTTGACCAAGAATATCAGATGATTAGAGAAAAATCCATTGAATCAGAAAAGAAGTTATTCTCAACATTACAAACAATTATCAAACTCAAAAACACACTTCATGAAGCTGCTTTACTTCAAGTTGAAATTTCATACTCATTATGTGAAATGACACTAAACAACCTCAAAGCAACACAACTGACTAACTCCATTTTGAATGCATCACAGGATATTCTGAATCAACAAAACTATTTCAATTCATTCATCAAAGATAATGTAGAAATCCCTCTCCATTCATTTCTTAATCAATTCAGAATATTAAGTAGAAGAGACTGTGAGTTGGAAGAAAGAAGAAAAAAAAATGGATAAAATAGAACAACAAGTAAT